ATAATAGAGCCGTGATGTTTTCAAAGGAAGCCTTTCATGTCCATTGAGGCGATATTTTTCAGAACAAAATATATAAATCGAATAGTGGTCATTTTTATATGACATTATGCAAAATCTCATACTGTCCATGGCAATCGCTGAAATTTTGTGAGCTGCACATGTAGTCCCAGCGATTCTTTCTGGGTGGAGCGTCAACGTTTAGCTAATGTTCTGTAATGCAATTGCGTGGATACGCTGCGAAGTAGAAGTCGAATGAAAACGGCAGATTTATTCAACAGTTCAAAGCAGTCAATCAAAGGCACGATACACTATAGCAATGGTTTCATAGACATCCTCTCGGATTTCAGTTTTCGGTTTTTTTCAAGACATCCTCTCGGTTCTTAGCGCATCTGCATAGCATATGTTTCGGTGTTAGATCGGACGAGCCAGATAGACGTTATGAGGGCTCACAGGAAGTATCCCACATACTATACAGCGCTTCGTCTGTCGTCTGTCGTTTGTCGTCTGTCGTCTGTCTGTATGTCTGTCACGAAATTCCTTAGCTCCTTTAGATATGCCAGGGGAGACCGGATCAAGCGTGGGATAGAAGTATAAGGCGCTCATCAGCTTGGCGGGGNCCCATGGGCGGGGCTTTCTCCAAAATGCAATGCTTTATGAAAACATTTATCGCTCGGTTTGGAGAAAGCCAACAGAGCAGGTAAAGTTTGATGTGGGAGAAGCATTGTGAAGGTGTCTCTAGCATAAATGACATCAGCAGAGGCCCGCCCACAATGGGCGGAGCGTGCCTTGAAGCTCACATCCCTTCTTACATTTATATACGAATATTCATAAATCCGGTTCCCATGTATGTAGAGAGTCTATATTTGGTAGTAGTACAGGTGGCACGATGGGAAAACTTATGGTGGGTGGCAGAACCAGACTCCGCCCGCATGGGGAGGAGTATGGGCGAAACTCATAAACAAACGCGATAGCGTGCGTGGCCACCTGGTAAATTGAATGCCATGCCAAAGGAAAAGTTTCATTGGCGTCGTAGAGGCTGCACTAATCCAAGAAGCCCCCATGCTGCCTTGTCATGTGTTGTCCAAAATCTCGTCCGAATCGCTCTTTAGTGCCAGTTCTGTCATGGTAAACTCGTACAACTTCCATTTTCGCCACTTTTAGGAGTTTGTTTCGTGAAGAGATGCACTATTTTATATGAGCACTTCCGCTTTTCGACTTGAAAAGTCCATCTCAGAATTGCCGTGAGCTATGCCTTTTTGGTTTCCCTTGCAGTTGGCTCTCCTTCCCTATCACAATCACGAAATCATGAGTACAATGCCATACAAAGGAACAGTCTAATTCACTGATGCTTCATATGAACTATCCGATTCCCAAGGGTTACTTGTACTTCCAGAATGGTTTTAATTTAAATCTTCAGTTTTAGAACGAATAGACCTTGCTTCAGATTCCGGTTCTAATAATGGTTCTGTAATTACCGTTAATGGAACCAATGACTCAGAGAAGGTTTATGACTGTTAGGGGTGCGGTAACTTCTTCCCGAAAATCGCGTCGCGCACTGCGCGTGCTTTAAAGGGGAGGTCTGAATTCCCTGCAGAAAGATACAGTAGCCGCCGCGGAACCAGTGCAGCTTGCCAAGGGAATTCGGTGAGAACTCCCTCCACTCTGACTGTTAGCACAACTTAGGGTTACAAATTGCCATGGGAATTCGGGTGAATACTCATGTTTGTATATTGATAAAGTTCGGAACGATGTTTGCAAATGTATAGGTCAAAATACTGCTACGACAGCAAATCTTGGCGGAGGAGGCTCATGGCCCGTGTTTTGTTCTGATTATCATTCTCATCATATTTACTTATTTGAAACAAATTGTTTCCTCACATAGTTCATATGACAAGAAAAAAAACTAGTTCAAATAAGTGTTTTTCGAATGGACAAAAAGCCGTTTCTCTAACTTACATTGAGTAGAACAGCATGCATATTGTGATGTTTGCCAGTTGCACAGCATCAGCAAGAGACAATAAGGCAATCAGGATGTTACATGGACTTCTTAAAGCTCTGCAATGAGTTGTTTCTGCTACCTGATGAGTAAGTTAAAGTTGCATTCTATGTTAAGTGGAACAGAATCATTCTTACTTCGATCGCAATGTCACATAGACCACGACAGCGTTTCCTGCCGCACCGATTGGTGGCACCACAAAGTAAAAGATTTGAATGATGCTCGGTATTTCTTGAGGCATACTGCTACCACTGTAGAACCTAAACAAAACGGGTGCATTAGCTTTTTGTTGGTACTTAACCAAGGGTTCGAGGAGCTCAAGAACGAAGTTATGCGCTGAAAATGGAAACTAGTGTTCCACCTGCTGGGCTGAGTATGATGAAAGAATGTTGAAAGTGAATAATCGCAATACCAGACTTCATCTTGTAGTCTTGTTTACAAATTTCCTCGCAGACTCGGTACAATTGTTTCTGCATGATTTTTGTGCCACCATTGTAGCAAAAACACCTATTTGTCTTTGTTTTGTTACATTGACTGCGATTACAATTTCATTTGCGTAACAAAAAGTAAAATCAGAACGGTTCTCAGTGGAAAAGCGTTTTCCAGCAACTTATGGATAACCTACCTATTCTTGTTCAGTGCTTAATGGTCAATTCATATCTCCTTTCGCATTACTGGAGACGATGTAGTAGTGGTAATATTGGTTACCAGTGGGATCGTCCGAATAGACGCTCCTCTTTTCCGTGTAAAAATGACTCATCGCATACGTTCCCTCCAAATTTGGACGCTCTGGTACAATAGAACATGGAGATAGAAAGTTTCAGCTAAACACGCTTGCCACACTTAGTGAACGCCTCGCTCGTCATGAGTGGAGTTCTGCCCAACCCATTTGTGCTTAAACTGGTTCATCCCCCTTTTTTTCCAACTTGACTGCGCAAATCCACTGAGATAACGCTCATTTACCGGCCTCTCCGTCCCCGTATTTGAATGGATTTTGAAAAATGAATGCAGGTTTTTGATACACTATTCTCATCTTCTGCGTCCCTAATGTTACCCCCTTGGTCATTTGTTGTTCCTTCGACCCCACCTTCAACCTTCAACCTCACCTTTAACCTGTGCATGTCTACTGTATGATGAAAGCATCAGACTAGGAAATTTCTTTAGACGTTACTACAGACATTATTCATGATGTGCGCTGGCTCTTCGGGAATTTGAACTTGATTCTTGCTGGCAGACTCGTCCTCTCTTCGAATCCAGAAATCGACCTTCTCTTATCGGCACTTCTTCCCTTTTCATCGGTTTTTTGCAAATGGGTACACAGAGCTAGGTGAACAATTGCTTTATCATTCATCAGAATTCAATAAGTAATACATAATATATACAAACAGCTTCTGATATGCTGATGAAAAAGAGCAATTGGATCAAATTACCGGCACGGATCGTTAAGACCAGTATTGTCGAAAATCATCTAAAATTTTGGCAGTCTGTGGAGATGGAGCAGTTGAAAAACGACAGTTGAGCGATGGTAGGGGTAGCGTTGAGATCGTTATCCGTTTCGATACATGTAGCCCCAACACGAGTAGGCCCGATTCACTCGTTTCAGATCAGATTCTGAGAAGTCCGTGCTTTTCCCCATCAGATTCGTATAGCGAGCATCCTCAAAAAGATAAATTTAGATTCAGTTGGAAACGGTAGGGAAAAAGTCGATTGGAAGCGGTCGACGTAACAGGGAAAGCGATGAAAACTCCAACGATTCATGGTATACGA